CAACAGCTCAATGTCCTTCTTATACTGGAGGCCCCAGAACTGGGGCAGAGTGTCAGAATCACCTTGCTCTACTGGTCACACTTGTTTTGATGCAGCCCAGGATGCAGTTGGCCTTCTGGGCTGCAAGCACACATTGCCGGCTCATGTTGAGTTTTTTGTTGACCGACACATGCAAGTCCTTCTCCTCGGGACTGCTCTTGAGCCATTCTCTGCCCAGCCTGTATTTGTGCTTGGGATTGTCCTTACTCAGGTGCAGGACCTTGCACTAGTCCTTGTTGAACTTCATGAGGTTGGCATGGGCCCACCTCTCCAGCCTGTCCATGTCCCTCTGGATGGCATCCCTTCCTTCCAGCATGTCAACTGCACCACACAGCTTGGTGTCATCTGCAGACTTGCTGAGGGTGTATTTGATTCCACTGTACATGTCACTGACAAAGATATTAAACAGTACTGGTCCCAATACTGATCCCTGGGGGACACCACTCGTCACTGGTCTCCATTTGGACATTGAGCCATTAGCCGCAACTCTCTGAGTGCAACCTTCTAACCAATTCCTTATCCACCAAGTGGTCCATCCATCAAATCTACACTTCTCCAGTTTCCCGACCAGTATGTCATGTGGGACAGTGTCGAATGCTTCTCATAAGTCCAGGTAGATGATGTCAGTTGCTCTTCCCTTATCCACAAAAGCTGAAACTCCATCATAAAAGATCACCAAATTGGTGAGGCACGATTTGCCCCTGGTGAAGCCATGTTGGTTACCAACAATCACTGCATCCTTGTTCCCCCTGTGCTTTAGTAGAGCCTTCAGGATGATCTGTTCCATGATCTTGCCAGGCACAGAAGTGAGACTGACTGGCTGATAGTTTCCTGGGTCTTCCTTTTTCCCCTTTTTGAAAATGAGGGTTATATTCCTCCTTTTCCAGTCTTCAGGATCTTCACCAGACTGCCACAACCTTTCAAATATGATGGATAGCGGTTTGGCAACTTCATCCGCCAGTTCTTTCAGGACCCACAGATGGATGTCATAAAGTCCCATGAACTTGTGTACCTTCAGGTTCTTTAGGTGGTCTTGAACCTGGTTTTCATTTACAGTGAGCGGATCTTCCTTCTCCCAGTCCCTACCTTTGCCTTCTGTGACTTGGGCAGTGTATCTAGAGCCCTTGCCAGTGAAGACTGAGGCAAAGAAGTCATTCAGCACCTCAGCCTTCTTCCGTGTCCCTTGTGACCAGTTCTCCATCTTCCTTCTGGAGAGGGCTCACTTCTTCCCTAGCCTTTCTTTTATCACTGATGTACCTATAGAAAGTCTTCTTGTTCCTCTTCATGTCCCTGGGTAGATTTAATTCCAGCTGCACCCTAGCTTTCCTAACCTGATCCCTGGCTTTTCGGGCACCTTCTTTATAATCCTCCCTGCTAACCTGTCCTTGCTTCCACTTTCTATAGATTTTCCTTTTGTGCCCAAGTCCAGGAGCTCCTTGTTCATGCATACAGGCCTTTTGGCATTTTTGCCTTGCTTTCTCCTTCTAGGGACGCACTGCTCCTGAACTCAAAGGAGATAGTCCTTGAATATCAACCACCTCTCTCGGGCCCCTTTTCCCTCCAGGTCTGTGTCCTACGACACCTTGCTTAGCATATCCCTGAAGAGACTAAAGTTTGCTTTCCTGAAGTCCAGAGTGGTGAGCTTGCTGCATGACCTTTTTGATGACCTAAGGATCTTGAATTTCACCATTTCGTGGTCACTGCAGCCAAGGCTGCTCTTGAGCTTCACATTGCTCACCAGCCTCTCCTTGTTGGTGAGGACAAGGTCCAGCATGGCACTTCTTCTTGTGGGCTCCTCTACCACTTGGAGGAGGAAGTTGTCTCCTATGCATTTGAGGAACCTCTTTTATCGTTGATGCCCCACTGTGTTGTCCTTTCAACAGATGTCAGGGTAATTGAAATCCTCCATGAGGACCAGGGCTTGTGAAGGTGAAGCTGCTGTTATTTGTTTATAGAGGGTCTCATCCACTCGGTCTTCCTGATCAGGCGGCCTGTAGCACACCCCCACTATGATGTCTCCTTCCTCTGCCTTCCCTTTAACCCTGACCCATAAGCTCTCTGTCCGCTCCTCACCCTGCCCCAGGTGGAGCTCCATGGACTCTAGCTGGTCCTTAATATAGAGAGCAACACCCCCTCCCCTTCTCTCCTTGCATATTCTTATCACAAAAAACAGACAGAAAACAAGAATAACACAGGAATTTAACTGGATAAGTAGTCAAATAACCAGTAACTAGCTAGGGAGAGGGATAAGACAATTTAGTAAGTAAAATGTCCTAAATTACTCAATTTTTCAGAAAGTATGTCTGTAGTTCCCAAAACTGTCTCAAAGGACACACAGCAATTGTGGATAGTAGTAATGCTGTTAATATAATGATAATGATTTGAGGCCAATGTGAGAGAAGGTTTTCATTAAACTAACTAAACTATGGAGAAGCTTTTGGGCATAGCAAGTCATCTTCATGTCAGTTTTAAAATAACCATTTGTAATTTTGGGTTTTTTAAGAGTTCATACCTGTGTGCTTTCTAAAAAGTCAGCTATGAAAAGGAAGACACAAAGTAATAATTCTATCTGAGACTTTTATAATTTCTGTATGTGTAGCCTTTAGCTTTCTGTAATTGTTTAGCTTGAACTTTCACTTGAATCTGAAAATGAACAGGCAGAATCTGCAGAAACTCCACAATATAGCCTGATTTCATTTGCTGCTTGATGCTTGCATTTAATTAGTATAAGGAATTCACTGTATTTATGGTGTTTTGCTTGTTTTGTTTTGTTTTGTTTTTTTAAATTACTTTCTATCTTGAACAAAATAATACTAAGTTATACTATTTCTCTGATACTGTAGTTGTTTGAATAAGGAGAACACTTATGTGGAAGAATATAAAGTCTTAATGTATATGATGGTTTGTTTGTTAGAGGCCTTTTCAGGCAGGTAGGAGCTCCTGTAATGTAATTTTGAAACTTAACTTCTATAAAAATCACCTTGTAAATTTTAGAATACTGACTTCTTGTGGTTCCATTTACAGTGTATGCTTTTGCTTAAGAGAAGGCCTTGGGGAGTTCTGTTCATTTTTAAGGGCTTTTTCTCACATAGCTCATGTTCATCTTTTTAGGATTGAAACAGACATTAGAAAAGGCTGTGAGCCTGTGAAAAGTCTGCGTAGGCCTGGGCATTTGTGTGACCTTGTTCCTGCACTCTGTGCTGACAGTACGCAAGCCAGGGGTATTCCTGAAGCAATAACAATGTAGAAGTTTGTCCATGCTGCTAAGACCATCAAACAGTGGATTTTCAGGTTAAGGTACTGGAAGAGCTTAGTGTGTCATTGTCTGTATGACGGTGTAGTTACGCCTTCAAATGAATCAAATGCAAGCAGAAATGTGAACACCAGAAATCATTCAACTGGTGAACAGACGAAACTGAAATTATGGTTCAGTGCTGAAGTGCCATGAATAATCCTCTTCTCTGTCTCGTATGTTTGCCCCATTTATGATGGAGATCACTTTCTTTTCTATCTTGAAAAGCATTCTTATAGTCTACTGTAACGTGTTCATAGAAACCTCACTTTAGGAAAAAAGTAAAAAATGCTTTGTAAGACAAAGGTTTGTTTGGAGATTTGTATTAGGAAAAAGTAGAAGAGCTTTACATGATCTTCTTATTTGTCTGGAGGCATTTCACAAGAAATAGGTCTGAATCTGGAGTTCCAGAAATTATATAAATAAGGAACAGTGTTCTGTTCAGTGGTAGACAAACACGGGAAAAGGGATGGCATGAAATTTTGAAAGTATATAGAATAAAATGTAGCAAAAATTTGTGTGGTGTTCACTGTTCTGAAGTATTCTGTATAACACCAAGCTCATGTTTGTATAAAGCTAAAAGAAAACTAAAGATTCTGTTTGTTTTCCATCAATTTGAATTAGCTCTAAGGATTTATGTCTTGTTAATTTTTAATTCATAATGAATAATGCCATTTGATTATAAAATGTGATAACTGAAAAAAAAATCATGTAGAAAACAGTGTTGTAATAGCATATAAATAATTAGATGGGGACTGTTGTTATATCATTTTAGCGTAGCATTATTTGGTTTCCTGAACTCTCGCTGTAGATGTTTGTATTAGTCAATGAAAAGGAAAATGTGACAGTTAGCCCAAGGGTTTTGTTGTTCGGTATAAGTCTTAATTTTAGTTCGTCAGTTGATCCAATGTATTAGTCACCATGGTTTCAGCTGAATCTAAAGAGAAGAAACACCACATAGGGAGTCTAATGGAGAAATAATACTTCCTTTAAAAAGATATGTCTAAATAAAAAACCACATGTTTTTGTGCAGCTTTCAGAACAAAAGTGCTGATCTCTTCCTTTATAATGTGTCTGTGGTCTCAGAAGAAATAACTCCTTTCTGTTGGTTTAGTTAAATTTCTTTTTTCATTTCCCACAGTTGTTAACTTCATTGACATTTGTGATTAATTGGGTTTTAAAGATGCTGACATTTAAAGTTGATCCTTCATTTTTTCAGCTTCTGTAACTAAATTCAGCTTACATTTCTTTTCACCTGTTTTTTTTCCAATAGACACTGGTGACAGTAAGCTTCTGTGTTTATTCTAAAACTTAACATTTAAATAGAGGAAAGAAACAGTGTTTACCTTTTTGATTATTTGAAATGAAAGAACGCATTTGAAAATAAAACATAGCAATGTGGGATATTTATTCCTGATTTTTTTTTTTTATAATTACGTCAAGAATTTGTGTTGTAATGCCTACTGTTACTGCATATGTGGCACATTAGGAGTGTATCCTTACTCTGAAAAAACAGAAATCCTATTTTTTTTTTTTTCTTTTTTAGTCAAAGATGCTAGAATTAAAAAAAAAAAGAACAAAAAGAACTTGCTGGATGTGACTGAGCTTTCAGTAGGAGGTCTGGAGGATGGTCCCAAGAAGCCTGGCAGATAGGTCCTCACTGTGATCGATGGACCTTAGTCCCTTGCATGGTAGCTACATGTAAGTTAGAAGTTAGTTAACAAGTTTACAGGGATTTTCACCACACTTCTTCATAGCCATTGAGGTTTTAGTTGGTTGTTTTTGATGTAACTGAAGTCTGCATTTGATTGAAAAATCTGTGCAGCTATAGGGGATATAATGACAAAGTATATGCTAGAACAGATTTCTTACAGATCTTTAAAGCAGTTCCCCACTTCTCCTTCTGTTGATGTTTTCTGTAAAAAAAGCAAAAGAAAGATACTAAGAAAGATATTATTTTCCTAATGAAGAATTATATGCTGAATTAATACAATAATTGTGTCAGTAATTTGATGTGGTGGCAAAGTTTCTAAAGCTCTACTGGTGGTAATTGATGCAAACAAAAATGAATTTTGTTGATCTATAAGTTTTACAAAGAAAAAACAAACCTGATATGAAAATATTTCTCAACTGCTACAGTCTTGAGCTTGTTAAGTTATGCTAGCTGTTCTTCCATATGCAATTTATTTTTTTTCCACACAGTTGATTTTCCCCTTGTATTTTTTTTCTAATCTATCTTGCCATGTTTACACATACACAAATAGTCATTTTTTAAATGGTATGTTTTTATGAAAGAGCATTTTCTCTTAAATGTAAATGTAAAAAGTAAATGTTAAATGTAAATCTTTACTCTCTGGAGCTATTAGGGACAGCTGCATTTTAGCTCTCTCTTAGCAAGGGAAGGCAAAAAGAGAAAGTAAACACACGCACACATTTACACACTGAAATCATGACATGTGCTGAGGGAATATAAGAGAGAACACTCAAGATATAACCTTTCTGCAACAGTGCTTTTCTGTGGCTGGCTACCTCCTATAGAAATGTAGAAGAAACATACCCTGTGACAGATGAACTGAAGCTGTGATGCAGTGGGACTGAAGAAAATCAGCTATTTGAAAAGAGCACAGCCTCAGAGAATAGAAGACTATGTAATCTTTAGACTTCTTTATATTAGTACACACATGGTATGCTAGCCTTTCTAAATGTTGCAGATTATTTAGGATAAATTCCTCTGAATGAATGCATTTTATTTTTAAAAAAGAGACATTTAGACTACTGCCTTACATTAAGAGTACTTCCATTAATTTATTATAGACTTACTTCACATGTTTCAGAATGAAGACAGAATCGGTATCTGGAATAAAAAGTTAACTTGTATTTAGCATCATATTTCAATGAGAGGACAGAGTACCATGATTTGGGAAAAAGTGCACTTGCTTGTTATTAGTGTCACCAATTAAGGGCCATAAGAAGGCTTTTAAATGGATGATGCATTGACTTCGTAGGAGGAATAACACTTGTTATTTATGTTCAGTTAGAAATCTGGCATCACAGAAATGCAAGTATTTATAGTTTAAAGGCCGCCTTCAAATATGAGCATGGAGCTGGAAATGTTAGTTATTAATTGGTTGATAAGATTCTGGATAATAGAGGAGAAATATGTGGAGGGCCACATCTACAGGTCATATTTTGAAATAAATGGGTTCCTTAATGCACGCACTTACTACTCTACACACTTTCTTATCAGTAGTAATTATAACTTCTCACAGTTGGGCATTAGCCTATACTTGGAGAAAACATATTGCAGGTAAGATTGTTGTTCATAGAATTGTCAAAATGGAGCAGAAAGGCTGGATCACAGGGGATATGCAGATCAGAAATGCTGGGATGGCAAAAGAAAGAATTAAACAGACATGAGAAGCAGGAGTGTTTTGATGGAGCAGGGACCAGAGAGAAGTATGACAGTGAATCAGGAGGAAGGGAATAAGGTTACTTTAGTATAGCCAGGCATGAAAAGTAGGATGAGAATTCATATGGTTGGAAGATGAAAACAAAGAATTGTGCTTAGGTTGGTTCCAAGAGCCGGAAGTCAACTGGAGGCTTATCCACCTGAAACTAATATCCTTCGTCCAGTACAGTTTGGCTTCATGCAGTGCTGAAATGATTTTACAGATATGAAAATATTTTCTCCTGTGAACTAGTAAAGACTGGGCATCCTTCTCCATTAGACACTGTTAATTGTTTCGTCTGGGAGAGGTATCCAGCATTTGAAATGCTGCAGTGAGGAAGCATTGAAACCTCTGCATAGGGAACTCAAAACTTGCACCGAATAATGAAGTATGTTTCTCTCTTACACAAACTGCTGTGTTTTCACTCTTCCCTGCATTAGCCTTCCCTAGAATCCTGGATTCCTGGATTGAATTGAAGTTTCTACCATTAGGCTTGAGGTGTTACTCTGCGTTCATAGCATCAATAGATAAAGCTCTGGTATTAACAGCTGTGACTGACAGCTCCCCTGCTCTGCTCAGCATTACTTGCTTTAGTAATTGCAACAGAGAGAAACTGAGCTCTCTTAGGGGCTGGCTTAAGCCAGTTGGATACCTGCTTCAGAAATTAAAACTGTACTATTCAGTGAAAAGAGTATATATATATATATATATTTTTTTTTTTTCAGGAGCATAACTATGCATAAAAGAAAATGTTCCTCTGTGTGCTTTTCTCTCACAGAGAATTTGAGATGATAAACATACATAACGTTGGGGACTTTGCTTAATGAGCTTCTATTGGGTGAATTTATGCAGTGATTGAACCTATTTTTGGCATATTTTGAGAAAAGCATCATTTGATAGCAGAACAAGTATATACCTTGTGGAATGTTCCATGATTTTTTTTGTGGAAAAGGAATATTTCAGATATAGCAAGTATTGTCTTCTACACTAAATGATTGAAATAGGTTGTTATAGTCAGTAGGACAACACTTTTTAAATGCTGCTAAATGTATAATAAGAATAAATATTAATACATATACCTGCATATATATAAAATTAAAATGTATATATTTGTCTTGCAGGGGTTGATAAGCTGATCCGTCATTTACACAAACACAACATACCCATAGCTGTTGCCACCAGCTCAGCTGAAGTGACATTTCAGATGAAAACAGCCAGACACAAAGACTTCTTTGGTCTTTTTCACCATATTGTGTTGGGAGATGACCCCGAGGTAAAGTGTGGCAAGCCACAGCCTGATGCATTTCTAGTTTGTGCAAAGAGATTTCACCCTCCTGCACCTCCAGAGAAGGTAAGAAGGGGAGGAAACAAATTAAATGAAAACTTAGGAGTATTCTGTTTGGGCTATATTTGGATTTTTATTTTTTTTTAAATGGGATAAATACTTAGATGAGGATTTAATGTAACCATGATAAAAATCAGCAACATCTGTTTTCAAAGATGTTTATGCTATTGAAGCAATACATAAAATGTTTGTAATGCAGATTGCTCTGATTTACTACATGGTAGTGTGCAGTAATAGGAAAGTGTAATGATTTTCTGCTCTATGCATAAATCTGCAAGCTTAACTTCACTACTCAAAGTTTGAAACAGTTATTTAAACATAGATCAGTTTATTTTTCATACATTCATGGCTGATTTACCTCTTAAATGTCTAAACATTAAAGATACTTCTTTGTAAAGAGGGCATATATTTTTCCTAAGCCATGTCTTTCCTCTTGCATTCTAAATCTCTGAGACCATAATTCTTGTTTTCTGATTTAAAACTGATCAGTTTGAGCAATCTTTCTCAAATAGTAGAGGTGTATATTTTCTTATATATAACTTTCCAAACTTGATTCTTAAATAGAAATCTGTAGGGAGAATATTTGAAAGATAAATTGAGAGTTAGTTAAAATAATGTCTTTGCTTTTATTTTAAACAAAATTGCCTTTCTCCTTAAAATATTTTTTCTCACTCCGTGTCTGTCTTGAGTGGAACATAAGCTGAAGTTTTGGAGTTTCAATACTGCAGAAAAATGTATTACATACTAATTTTTACGGAACAACTTTAGACGGATTAGACTGTGATTACTGTTTCCTCAGTAGAATTACTGAGGAAAAAAATGGTTACACAAATACATACAGAATGATTAGCTAAGATTCTTCAGCCTTTCATACTTCAAGTTCTCACTCTGAGTCTAAATGATATTTGCATTACCTGGGAATACAAAATGAAATAAGTTTAGTGCAATGTGGCATACTATGAACAATGTTAACCAAACTGGTTTTGGTTTTTGGTTAGTTTTGGTTTTTTGATTATTTTTTCTCTCTCTGTTGCGAGTTCCCTTGACATTCTGTGTATGTGCATCAACCTTATTTGGAAAATTAGATATTCAGCAAAGATACACCAATGTTCATGATCATGTTCATACAGATGGTGGTTGTTTGGACCTGTTAGGTACTTGTGCGAGTAGGCCTCGTATGCATTCAGTGGGCTTGATGGCATTGGGTTGATGATTGGACTTGATCTTAGAGGTCTTTTCCAACCTTAATGATTCTGTGAGTCTGTATGAAATGTTCCAAATGCTGAAGAATCTGAGCAGCAAGGCTGTATATCTCACCTTAGAGTGAAGTAGTTATGAATTTCAAGAATGTTAATTGAGAGCAAATGTTGAGAAGCAGCCTGTCATGTCCCTCCTCCAAGGCGGGAAGAGAGCAGCTAAAGATCTGCAAGTCTCCTTGGGCTAAATTAAGGATCAGTGACACCAAACAACCAATTAAAAGTTTTATTTATAATGTAAACAGTTTGAACCTATAAAAGGTAAACAGTTTGAACTTGGAAAATGTTAAAAGCGGTTGGCAATGTGGGATCTTAGTGGAACCACCAAAGTGGGTTCTTGGTGATTCCTTTATAGGAGGTTTAACAGCATTCAGAGTTCCTTTAGTGCCAGTAATTCAGCTGAACTTTTTTTTGTTACGTCTGTGAAAGTCAAAGTGGAGAAATTTAGCACAAGCACAGAACTTGCAAGAAAAAGAAAGTCAGAACAGTACATGCAAAACTAACTGAAATGTTCATGACCAATTGCAGTGTGGTGATGGCATCTGCAGTGTTTAGTCCTAGGTGGTGAACTAATAGGGCTACAGGCTTGGATTTCATGTTGAAAATCAGTAACATGCAAGTTTGCAGCAAAGTATCAGGAGGCTTAGGCAATGTCTGCATAAGCAAGTAATTGGACTCAAGAAAAAAACAGATTATTAGAGCAATGTCTATTTGGTGCTTAGGTCCATACATCTATGCTTTATGTGATTTGAATGTTTTCTGTTGGATTACATTTACTCTGATCCTTGGCTGAAGGCTGCATACAGTACTTTTGAGCTTTATGTCCACTTAAGCACTGGAGATTGCTTGATATGCACCTGGAGAGGACTTCCACTTTGGCATCCTGCTAAAGCAACCTAGTACACACCAGAACTACTTAGTGGCGACTGAGAACTGTCAGGTTTGCTTCAAAACTTCACTGTTGCTCCAAGTGAAAAATGCAATGTAGCTATAGTAGGCCAAATCCATAATTTAGCTGTAGTGGCATACTAGCCTGTGACTGTTGCTGTGCAAGCATACTTCTACAAGCAGGCAGTTTTAAAATGATATAAAAATGAGTATGATGTCTTCTTTGCTATCATTGAAGGATGTCATAATTGTCTGTATGGGAATTTCTTAAATGTTGATCTTTTCATTTGCAGTCTTTGGTTAACTAGGAAATTAATAAGCATAATGATGAAACCACAGTACAAGAATTTCAAACAGGATCCACCCTGCAAATTCAGCCTATGTCTTACTATCTTGTGATGCATGAAGTTTCGTATGAACTTCCAACACTAGTAGCATTGTACTGTCATATGAGTAATTAATTGAATCAGTTAATAAAAATGTGATCTGCAGATTAAATACAAGAAATTTAGTCTACTACTGAAATTCAGATTGATTTATTCATTTTTAAATATGCCAAATTCTGCTCTCAAATACACGGATATAACAGGTATGAAAACCATCTGGAACTGTTCATGTGTAGAAATAATGTATGCTTGAATATTGTAGAAAGTTCAGGCCACAGTGTTCAAAACACTCTGTTCTTTTCCATACATTTTATTTAGATTCAAAGTTTGTTTTTTTGTTTGTTTTTCCTTTCTTTTTTTGATCATAATTTGGAAATAAGTTGTTTCACGTTTCTCTCAAATTAGCTACTCAGCATTTTACCATGTTCCAGTTTTTTACAATGGGAATTCCTTTTAAGGAATGTCAAATTCCTTTTAAGAAAACCTTTAAAATGTGCTGGAGAGGCAAAATCAAAGTTTTATTGATGACACTACTGTGAAATCTGGTAAATTTGGCTATATATCCTGTGTGACCTAGTCTAGGTGATCCTGCTCTAGCAGGGGGGTTGGACTAGATCATCTTTCGAGGTCCCTTCCAACTCCTGATAATCTGTGATTCAGTGATATATGCCAAGAGATGTTAAAGACAACAAGAAGGGTTTCCCAAGTATGTAGTAGACAAAAGGAAGACTAGGGAACATGTGAGCCCATTACTGAATGAGATGGGGGACTTGGTTACACAAGACATGAAAAAGTATTGAATGTAACAAGTCAGGAATG